ATACACAAGCTGCTGCTCGCCCTTGAGGCACTTGCCCAGGTCGAACTCGGGGGACTGGATGGGGGCCATGGTTGCGCTGCAGTGCGCGAGTAGGAAATCAGCTACCCAAAGGCCATGAAGGTGCTGGAGAGGCGTGGGGGTCGTGTTGCCGAATGTTTGGCGTCAATGGCTACGAAAGTCGCGAAAGCCAAAGCTCACGCGAAAGTCGAGCTAGTACGTGCAGGGATCATCACAAGGGCTCTTTCTTGCGATCCCTCCCCGACACCTTGCACACACACGCTTCAATGTCTTGGAAAGATACCAGATGCGCATAGAAATATTATCGCCATCTAGTTTTGCGCGTATTGGTTCGCGTCGCAATGGGTTTTTTTCTGATTTCCAATTACATTCTGCCAACAATGCAGCGGGAACTTGCCTGCGGACTGCCTGCACGCAGAAATAGACCCGTTCTCTGGTATATACACACTCAGAATAATCTGTTAGACTTTCTACACCCAAGAGGTCGCGCAATAGCGGCCTTGCTGTACCAGACATGAGGTACCGTACCGTAGCACTAAGGACCGATTCATGCCACCTCCGTGTTAACTCCGCAGCCTCAATATCTGAATAGAGCATCATTGAGTCACCCCACTACTCTAGTAGACAGCCATTCCTTTCCCACCTTCCCGTCCCAAGGTGCACTCACATCTCCCGGCGCGCACTCCGCAATCGGCAGCTAATATATTCTAAACGTCGACCTCGCCATCAAAGGGCCGCCACGCTTTCTGCCATCTGACCGCCGGAGAGTACTCAGACGAAGCTATATAACAGCCACCGGGCTTCCAACGCGACGGCAACGCTGACGCAGAACACCGCCCAAGATGCCCGCCCTCGAACTAATCGACCACTCGCCCAGCAATCCTACCCCCTCGCCACCGATACCTACCGCTTCCAACGTTGTACTCATAGACAACTACGATTCGTTCACCTGGAATGTGTACCAGTACCTCGTCTTCGAAGGCGCGAAAGTGACCGTATACCGGAACGACGAAATTACGCTCGAAGATCTCATCGCGAAAAACCCTACACAACTGGTGATCAGCCCAGGTCCAGGACACCCCGAGAAGGATGCAGGTATTAGCAATGCGGCCATCAAGCACTACAGCGGCAAGATCCCGATCTTCGGCGTGTGCATGGGCGAGTGAGTTCTCGGTTTTCGGTGGGCGCAACACGCGGGGCAGTGCTGACACGATCAAGACAGTGCATTTTCTACAGCTACGGCGGTACTGTAGACGTCACAGGCCAGGTCCTGCACGGCAAAACGTCGCCTCTTAAGCACGACGGCAAGGGCGTCTTCGCAGGCGTCTCGCAAAATGTCCCCGTTACGCGCTACCACTCCCTCGCCGGCACCCACGGCACTCTCCCAGACTGCCTCGAGGTAACTGCGACCATACCCGCCAACGAAGAAGCCGAAGTCAAGGAAGTCGTTATGGGCGTTCGACACAAGGAATACGTCATGGAGGGTGTACAGTTCCACCCGGAGAGCATCCTGACAGAGGACGGTCGGCTCATGGTGAGGAACTTCTTAAAGATGCAGGGAGGCACCTGGGCCGAAAACGAGCGGTTACAAAAAGAGACACATGCCCAAGCAGTCGGTGCTGGTTCCAACGGCACAGCAGCCGGCGCAAAGAAGGACAAGCAGACATCCATACTGGAGAAGATCTACGACCATCGCAGGGCCTCGGTCGCTAAGCAGAAGGAGATTCCGTCCCAACGACCCAGTGATCTACAGGCTGCGTACGATCTCAGCCTAGCGCCTCCTCAAATCAACTTCGCCGAGCGCCTCAGGCAATCGCCCTTCCGACTGTCACTCATGGCCGAAATCAAACGCGCATCACCCTCCAAGGGCATAATTTCACTGTCCGCATGCGCTCCCGCTCAAGCAAGGCTGTACGCAAAGGCCGGTGCAAGCACGATATCCGTACTTACTGAGCCGGAATGGTTCAAGGGTAGCATCGACGACCTCAAAGCTGTTCGACAAAGCTTGGAAGGCATGCCGAACCGTCCCGCCGTCCTGCGCAAGGAGTTCATCTTCGAGGAGTACCAGATCCTGGAAGCTAGGCTCGCGGGTGCCGATACAGTGTTGCTGATCGTCAAGATGCTGGATGAAGCGGTCTTGAAGAAACTCTACGACTACTCCCGATCACTTGGAATGGAGCCTCTCGTCGAGGTCCAGAACGCGGAAGAAACGGAGATTGCGGTCAAGCTGGGCGCTCAGGTCATTGGTGTGAACAACCGTAACCTGGTGAACTTCGAGGTCGACATGGAAACAACCAACCGTCTAATCAACATGGTTCCAAAAGAGACGATCTTGTGTGCGCTGAGCGGTATTGCCGGGCCCAAGGATGTCGAACCATACATCAAAAGTGGAGTTGGCGCAGTTTTGGTGGGTGAAGCGCTGATGCGCGCATCCGACACCGCTCAGTTCATCGCGGAGCTTCTTGGTGGCTCATCTACCAAGAAGTCGGGAACAGCATCAAGCCCGATGGTGAAGATCTGTGGTACTCGCAGTGTCGAGGCTGCAAAAGCCGCAATCGAAGCAGGAGCTGACCTCATCGGCATGATCCTCGCGCCAGGAACCAAGCGAACGGTCACAGCTGAGACAGCTCTGGAAATCTCGGAAACCGTACACAAGACCAGAAAGCCTGTGGTTTCGAAATCTGGGCTGCTTGCTGAATCAAAGTCCGCCACCGATTTCTTTGAGCATGGCGCAGCACGACTGGTGTCAAGTGACAGTCACGCGCTTCTCGTAGGCGTGTTCCGAAATCAGTCACTAGAGTACGTACTTGAACAGCAGCGACTGCTGAATCTAGACGTCGTACAATTTCATGGTCAGGAGCCATTAGAGTGGGCAAAGCTTGTCCCGGTTCCTGTCTTGAGAGCATTTAACCCGCATAACCTTGGCATTGGCTCAAGAGGGTATCACGCTCTACCACTTCTGGATGCAGGATCCGGCGGCTCGGGTCAGCAGTTGGATCTTTCAGATGTCAAAACAGTATTCGCGAAAGACGATGGTATCAAGGTCATATTAGCTGGAGGATTGAACCCTGATAATGTCCAATCTACGCTCGCTAGCCTTGAGGAATACCGGGGCCGCGTGCATGCTGTAGACGTCAGCAGCGGTGTGGAGGAAGATGGCCAGCAAAGTCTGGACAAGATACGGGCATTCATCAAGGCGGCCAAGAACCAGTAGTGGCGGTTCAGAACACGACTATCGAAGCTGAAGGCTGTCTTCCGAATCTTCAAATGTAACAAAAATGGCCCAGCATCCTTTTGATCTCTCCTTCAATACGTTTTCTGATCCTCTATTTCGTACAAGTCAGACATCTCAATATTTCCATAATGGTGGTTTGTGCCGCCGCAAATAGCGGCCTGGAGTCGCTTTGTCGGCGTCTCTTACCTCTTGATGGCAGCCGCACGGTCCCGGCAAACGCTGTATCACTTCAACCGCTGCCCACCACCACAAGGTAAGACCAACGAGGATCTCGCCAGATTTACACCCTCAATCTGGACACCGTAAGCCCTCATCTACGTCCTCAAGCAAGTGTGCACACCATCCCTCCTACACTCTACAGTTTAACCACCGCGCCGCTACAATGGGTGTGTTGGACAAGCTTACTATTGCCGTTGTTGGTACCCATCCCCATGATGCTAAACAGATCAAAGCCTGGATCGAGCGAAACGGCGGCAAATACTCTGCGAAGATCAGCAAGAGCGTCACCCACCTCATCGCCAGCAAAGAAGCATACAAGAAACCCGCCGACGCTGTACAACAAGCCACTGACCTCAACATCCACGTAGTCAGCTATGACTGGTTCGACGACTCGTTGCAAGCGAAGAAGAAGTTGGGCACTAGGAAGTACACGTGGGAAGTACTTATGAAAGAGAGGAGGAAGAAGAAAGAGCTGAAGAGGATTGGTACTCTGGCGGATGGCAGTAAGTTCAGGAAAGGCTGTGAGAACATCGAAGGGTTGACTGGATCAGGTACGTTGAAGACATCTCCCGTTGTTGCGAGAAAGCCGAGGAAGAGCAAAAGTTTCTTCTTTGCCACGTCTGCCCCAGCTGTTGCGCCCATCCCTTTTGTTTCTGCAAAAGAAGACCTCTTACGTAGGAGGGCAGAAAGAGCAGCTGCATTGGCTGAGGGAGCTGGAGCTGGAGCTTGTGAGGGCCAGGCAAAGAACTCTATTGAAGTCATGGATGACACTCCAAGCCCGGCCAGCCAATCTCCAAAGCCTGTCGCTCTTGTCCAGACACCTCTCAAGAGGTGCAGGCCCTCTTCCACCTCCAAGAAAGTCCAACAGGCTAAGATTTCTCACTGGAAAGAGGATTATCACTACTATCAAGATACGGACGGCTTCGAGTACAAGATCGTTCTTGTACGCCAGGACAATCCTTCCCTTAGTTCTGCAAATGTAAGCTCTGACCGTACGAAATGCTTTCGAGACACATACTGACCTCGCACGTCTTACAGTACCACATTGCGCTATTGCAGAGTCATACAAAGCCGCATGTGTACTGGGCGCTTGTACAGTACAAGCCTGCTAAGACTTTGCCGGCAGCGGAGAAAGAAGAGAATGAGAAAGGAGATGTGAAGCAACAAATACCTCTTAGCAGCGACGAAATTACTCAGCACCCCGAAGCAAACCGTCTGCTTTCTATCATCACCAAGCAAGCCCTAACACCAGAGGCTCCGTACAACGGCGAGCTATGCCCTCGCGGCAGTGACTTCGCTACCGCCATGCGCTCATTCCGCCACGCTTTCCGCGACCTTACTCTCCTCTCCTGGGAGGAACGTTTCGACGACAAGACCCTCCAAAAAGCACGCGCCCAAATCCTTAACATTGAGCCCTTCTGGTACGGAAAACCAAAAATGGGCATGCCAATGGGCAAGTAGCTTCCACTTACAAGAAGACATGAAACACGTACTAACTTCTCTAGGCCGCCTACCCCAAGCACCAGCCATGTACACAGGCACAACCTCCGGCCTCGAAGTCCTCGGCGACATATCCGACACCTACATCCGCGGCACCTCTCTCCTCCCTTCGATCTCGCACCCCCTCACCCGCCACGGCATAATCGGCGGCCCCATCCACCGCGACGCAGAAGATGCACGGAAAAGCGAAGAAGCCCGTCTCCAGAAGATCGCTGAGGCGGAAGAAGTTGAGAAGAGGAAGGCTGGTCTACTGCGCGCCAGGGACATGAAGGTCAACCATAACCGACCCATGTTTAATGGGCCGATGGGCAGGCCGACAGTGGATGCGTATGGCCAGCATATCAGTTATAGGGGTGATGGGGGCGTGAGTAAGTATTCGGTGCCGATGCCGGTTGGCGGTGGGGGGAATGCTAATAGGGGGTTTGTGGCGCCGGAGTTTGCGCATCTGTTGGCGGGGGCGAAGAAGGAGAGGAGGCCTTGGCCGAATCAGAGGGATGACTGAGGGGGATTAGATGAGGGGTTTGGTGCTGGATGTCTTTGGGACTTGAGACATGAGGTGCGAAAGAGAGACTGGTTCTTAGGCGTGGGGACTGTCGATCACATCTCAGCGGCAATATTCTGTTTCTTGCGCAGCACGGTCTCGGAAGCAGAGAATATATCTTTTCTTTGGCAATCGAGAATCTAAATTGCGAATGGCAACTTGCATCGACGTTGCTCTATACTTGGTAACCACCCAATGAGGCAACGCACTAACTCAATATGTCACTAGCTTCTTATCCCCCCAAGACGCGTCCCTCCATCTCTCTTCCCGTCCCACCTACACCACGCTCATCATTAACCTCCACATCGCCTAATACGCGATGTCTCTCTTTTTCAGATATCTAGCTTCAATGGAGACATCGTGCGAAACCTACAAACGCGTAAAGCTATGCTGCTTGCCGCGGAGCAGCTTGACGTAAGCAGCAAGGAGGTTGGCGCATACCATGACCGTCAATGCCCAATGCTTGCTACTTCTATCAAGGCCTGTCGTATCTGCACAGCTGGATTTGATTACTACTATGACAAGGGATGGATTTTAGCCAAGCTGGATTGCTGGTGGAAAGCACGGTAAAGCAAATACGATGTAAGTTTGCAAGATGTCAAGAGAAGGATATAAAGACTTTCACAGGCCCCGGTATTAATTCTCGCTTGGTGAGTAGGATAATCTCAATATTTGACCCGCTCGAGGTACCTCCTCAGTCTAATCTCAGCAACGATGGTTTGGTGTTTCAACTGCGCTGGCCCGCACTATCAGCAGGATTGTGAGCTACTTTGTGTGGGCTGCCCTAACTCTACTCATGCGGGAAAAGACTGCGCTAATTGCCCTGTACGACGAGGAAGCAACTTCCGCGGTGGTAATGGCGCTTCTTTTAGCCAAAGAGGTGGACGCTCTACCGCTCCAAACGGCCATTACGGTTCTGGAACTTGGAATAGTGGTGATTGCCCCGTCTATCCAACAATGGCATACACACCAAATCTCAATATGAACCAGCAAGGCCTGTACTCGTATGCCCCTATTCCTATCCAGGATACCAACGGAATGTACTATCAAAACAACGCCCCGGGGTACCCATTCTCTCCAGAAACGGTTAACCATCCTAACACCCACGGGCAACCTACGTTACCCTCTAGAGCAGCCAGGTCAGGACAGCAAAGTAAGTCAGCCCGATACAATCAAATCTCATCTACTAATCCCAAAGCTCCATGGGACGTCCTTCAACAACGCCTATATGCAAACCGAGAACATTTCCCCTGTAGCTGGTGCGGAGATTTCCATCACTGCCTGCTTGATTGCCCTGGCCAGCTAACTAAATGGCACGCTCCTTTGCGTACTTGGATAGTTCAGAGCGGCTACGAGACCTTCGCAGGCTTTTTCATCGTGAGTTTACAGAATCGCCATAGGCCGTTCGAGGATGTGCCTTTCTTGACCGCACGGCGCAGACCGCATTACAGCCGGACGGAAAACCCTAACACTATGGGAGTCACGCAGGCACAAGGGCAAGGGCGGGGAGAAGGACGAGGAGGCGGCGATCGAGGATCGGGCACCTTGGGTTGTCAGGATGGAAATCGGCAGGATGGAAATGGTCAGCCTGGTGAAGACCAGCCGGCTCCTCTGGCATTGCCCTCGACGCAGGCGGCTTTCGACGAACAGCGCTCATCCCAGCACCATATTGATCAGTCAAATATTGATACGCTGGGGGGCGTAACGTTGACGTAGGCCTCTCATGGTGTCTTGAGGGAACTTCTCAATTATGCCGCGAGCTAAGTCGCTTAAGTCTTGTGCATACTTAAAGAGGAGAGGAGCATTGCCAAGAATACGAACTAGATAAGAGCTTATAGCTGCATCTAGTTAATTTCTCCTTACAATGCACCTTGTAGAAAGAACCCTGTTATTCGCAAGCTCTTCCAAGACAAGAATTAACTGCTCTTGCATCTAGAAGCGCTACTTGAGTCTATCTAGCATATAGAGAAGGTGGTGCATCCGCTCATCGATACTTTTTTATTAGACAATCCTGTAACCTGGCTCAATCCTTGGGATGGCTCTTTCTGCTTGTTTCCTTTCTTTTGTACTTGCTCCCGCGACAGACTTTGTATTATCTACTGTGTATACACCCGATCGTGTGGTGTTAGAGTAACTATCTGGGTAGCACCCTAGAGCCTACATCAAGATACAAACATGCAAAGCAGGGTGCCTGACGTTAACGTGGGCTCCAGGGTGTTCCGCTTTTCCCTTGTATAAGGTGGTAGAAAACGTATTGGTCACGAATCGACACTGATGTGCTTCGCCGTGTACAAATGTAGCTCTAACCTGTATAGTTCCCAGTCTACACCAGGAGTTACGCCGGGCGAGATCCCATATTGGCCAACAAGGGTGGTGCTTGCGAGTGGGTGCCTCAGGACGATGACCTATGTTGTAGGTGCTGGTATTGTAGTAGAGCTGTGGGCGCAGTCATGCTCTCCGGGTTGCACGGTTGTCTGTCTCTGAACGTAGCCAGTCAAAGATGGCGGCAGGGCGGGATCGATATCGCATCGGACACTACCTCTTTCGGGTTATTACCGTGGGCGACAAGATCCAGACCTGAGTACGCTGCAGGCCTTGTACTTCTACTCCAGGTCAATCGCGCGAACAACACACAGTATTGAAAAGACGAGAGTGTACAATGAGGTTCCCCAAAACGATGCTGCCTTGTCGTGATGATGGAGACGGTGGTGCTGCGCCTCGCACGGGACTGCACGCTACGCCCGGGCGATCGTCACTAGCGATGACTAAGGGCGTGCCTTGCCCGTTCTTGTGCGATTGGTGACGTGCGTCTTCGCGGCTCAGAGCTCGCTGATTCAACAGGGTCCCTTCATTTAATTTCCCTCGCAGCCCACATCAAAACAAGGCCACGGCAAGGTTCAATTAATCGATTTTGAGCACTGCCAGTCCCTGCGACCCAGCATCCGCTGTTCATTTTACCAAGACTAGTCTTGTCGTGCGGAACAATTGCTGGACTAAACGCCGCGCGCTCACGTCCGTCGGTCAGCGCAAGATTCCGTAGCTTCCGCGGCTCATCTCAAGCTCCACTGCGGCATTCCGAAACCATCGCTCCAACGCTGCCAATCCATCCCAGCCAACACCAAACATGTCGCAAAACTATCAGCAATACGGCGGCAACCCGTATGGCCAGGCCGAGGCAGGATACGGCGCGCAATCAAACCCATATGGCGGCACCGGCTACGGCTCAGCCAACCCCTATGACGGAGGAGTAAGCAGTCGCGACCGCGCCGCCTGAACTCAAAGACTGACGCGACGAAACAGTATGACGGCCAGGCCCAGCAGCTCAGCCCGCCGGCGCCCCTCCAACGTCATGGCGACTCCAACTACTCGCAGCCCTCGCAGTATTCGCAACCCGGCGCAAACCAACAACCACCCAACGTACCCCATACCGACGTGCCGATGAACAACATGCCTGCGTACGGCGAGCCGACTGGAAACCCCGGCATGGAGGCGCCAGGACCGCAGCCCCTCAGCCGCGAGGACTTCTTCGCGCGCATCGAAGGCGCAAAGTCGCGCATCGGCCAGCTCACTTCCGACATCCAAGCCATTGCAAGCGTCCACCAGCGCATGCTATCGTCGCCCGACAACCGCTCCACCGCCGAGCTCGAGAGCATCGTAACCGCCACGCAGATCCGGAACACCCAAATCAAGGACGAGATCAAGTTCCTCGAGAGGGATGCCGTGCGCGACCCCAACGACCGAACCAAGAGGACGCAGGTGGAGGCGCTGAAGAGGACGTTCAAGACACAGCTCGAGGCCTTCCAGAAAGAGGAGGCAGACTACTCCATGAGGTATCGCGAGGCTGTCGGGCGCCAGTACCGCATCATCAACCCGGATGCGACGGATGCCGAGGTCAACGAGATTGCCAACTCGGATCTGGGTGACGAGGGCATCTTCACACAAGCTGTAAGCAGACACGGATCGCACGAAACAAGACCTACGTCACTAACAACCCGCAGCTCAAGTCTAACCGTAGCGGCCAAGCCTCGAGCGTCCTTGGCGCCGTCCGCGCCCGCCACAACGACATCCAGCGCATCGAGAAGACCATGGGCGAGCTTGCCCTCCTCTTCACCCAGCTCAACGAGCAGGTCGTCTACCAAGAACCCATCATTCAACGGACCGAGGAGCAAACTGTACAAGTCAAAGACGATACCGAGAATGCGAACAAGCAGCTGGACGAAGGCATCAAGTCGGCCAGGCGCGCGCGCAGGCTCAAGTGGTGGATCCTCTTGACCGTCATCCTGATTCTGGCCGTTATCGCGCTGGCACTTGGATTATACTTTGGATTGAAGAAGGACAAATAGAGGATGTAATGACCATATGGCGGTGTGAAAAGAGTAGGATGCGATATCATGTTGAGACCATGTTTCTGTATAGAGAAGTGGATGACTTCTCGTTGCTTTCTTATTATTAGTAATGATCCGGGCTGCACTCCGCAGTGACGAATGTGTATACAAAGGAGGTTTTTTCTTGGTTGTATCTGAAGGTATGCGCGTGGTTCTATCGAGATGTAAACACAATGCAAGATAAAGTCTACTTTTAGCACACCCGTTCGTGAGGTACGAGGCGGTTCCAGAAACACGAGCGCCTTTGCGAACGGAAGTCGGCAAGGAATAGTCCTTAGCGCTGGTGGTATGATGGCAAAATGCCCGTAAAACAAAGACTACGTTCCCAACATGAAAGTCTCGACCGCTAATGGGATTCTGGACCGGCTGGCGCAGGTATGATCGATAGAGCTGCGGCAAGGCAGCGGGGGATCCGTTTGGGGAGAGGGCGTGCTCTTGAACTCGATTCCGCATGCGATGGCTGGACATGTTGTGTTGAGAAGGCTGGCCAGGGCTCTAATAATACGACGGCAAACTAGCCTGCCAGAAAACCGCCTCCCAGCATTTGAGATACGGAGGCTGATGATTAGCCGATGA